CCATATCTCCGATTTCCCCAATTTTAGTTTTGTTTTATATTCTCCCTTTGCAATTTTATTAACAACATTAGCTGCATCCTCCATCCTGCTAAGCTAACAATTTTGGGACCCGCTGTCTATTTTTATCCCGCCCGCTATCTCTGTCACTCCCGCCCGCTCCCGCCCACGACAATCTAAAACCCACCCAATCCCGTGAGATTTGCGTTGGGTCCCGCGGGATCCACGGGATCCCGCTCCCAATGCAGGGCTCTAGTCTGGAGCACTACATCTAGCCATGGTTAGTCTGATGTAATTACCCTTATCATAGTTATTTTATCAGGCTGGCTTGCAGGACCTTTAAGGCTGATTTATACTTCGGTGCAGAATCAATGCCATCGCCAAATGCCTGTAGTTACATATCTGGGGAGTTGTGCTACAGTGTAGGGTAGGGCTACCTTCAAAGTATAAACCAGCCTTCAGATAAATCAGAGTAGACTCTTGTCAGGCTTTAAATAGCAAATCACAAAGCAATCTACCAGTTTCCACTGGCCTGAACGTGCTCTTTGCGAATCTTGATATTGCACCTTTGAAGTTTTCAGATAAAACTTTTTTCATTTAGATTAAACACCAAATTGCTTGCTAACTGGCTATTCTGCCCAGCATAACAGCAACCTCTATAAAAAGACACAATCGTAGACGTTATTACCCAAAATCTGCCACCTCCCTCATGCAGGAGAAAAATATAGTTATTTCGACGCCCCTGTTCTATGAGAGACACAGTGTTGACAATGCTGTCATCGCATACAGGCTTGCTGTCACATTCGGGGTTTCCTGGTATTGTATCACATGAAACTGAACTGAATAGTTTTTGAAAATAGAGGTTCGGGGTAGGGAGGAGGTGAAACGAACAACACAATGCAGTGAAAAGGGGCACAGCGGAAACAGGCTGGGTGAGTGAACTGCACACAGAGCAAACGGCAAACGTACCCATAAAAATGTGTTTTTGTCTGACCAGGTACAACGAAATCCAGCTACAGCTCTTAATTTCACAGATTCTTTAACAGCAAGTCAGAAAAATCTGTTCATTTGCCCATGATCTGTTCTTTTTGTTTGTTATTTATTGCTACTGGAATTTAGGTGTCAATATATTGACATCTTGGTCATATTATTGTATAGACAAAAATGAAAAATGAACCACATAATCAAAATGTAGGTGAATAAATGTCAGTCAGACGGTTCAGTTTCATTTCGGGTTGAAAGATTACATTTTAACCTGCAGTGAAGATAAAATTCAATCACAGCATCAAAGGCGTGTATATACATATATAGAAATATACTATATACTTTGCACCGAAAAACTGTATTTATCATGATGTAACAGGTGTGTGTGTGTGTGCATTTTGCATTATTTAATAATATCAAACATATGTAAAATTGACCATAAAACCTCAACATTAGCATCAGTAAAGTGCTGTTCTACACCTTTGTGGATACAAAGCAGAAAGGACATTTAGCACATTTCCAGCAGTTTTTTTAAATTGCAGTTTTTCCAAGAACTTGCCCTCACCATGTGGTACATGTTGCTGGCGGGTGGATCCACACTGGAGCGGAGGCTGTTGTGGGTCTGGACACACTCGTCGATGAATGTCGGATCCGCTGTGTTCCACAGCTGGCCTCCGCTGGAAGCTGGCTGAGCAGGACGGGCAAAATGCAGCAGAACCTGGGCCCAAAGCACCAGGTGCACTGCCGGACTCATGATGCACGCGTGGACTCTCGGTGGCTCCACGAGAAGCTTTCCTTCTAAGAGCTCAAAGACTCTGAGTGTGCCTGGACCTTCTATGGTCTCGTTAGGAAATGGAGCGACCCCGCCAGTTCAGAGTACCACCCATACAGGATATCTATTTTTAAAGCATTTATCTTTGAGGAAAAAATGAGACCAGTGCTTATAGATATATAGTGGAGTGCAGTAGCTTATCGATGTACATCTGTGTCAGGAAGCTTGTGGGTTCACAATGCCCTTCACCAGCAGAAGAATCATTTCATTATTGGGCCCTGGAGAATGGACTTTAACCCCAACTGATCCAGGGTCGACCCTGCTCTCTGTCCCCAAGTTTTCCTCATTTGGACAAATGAGTCAAAATTAGTAAATGGTAGTAGTTAGCGCTGTAACCTCACACCTCCGGGCCTGTGGACTCAAACCCCCTTCCTTGCTGTGAGTCTAGAACTTCTTGTCTTTATTAAGTATCTCCCTGGTATCCAGAAAAAAACAGGGAGTTTGGTGAAATGGCAGCTCTGAATTTCCCTTAGTATGACTATATGTGTTCACTGTCTGCCGTGTCCTCTCCAAGGCTCCAGGCAAATGATGGCTCTACACCAATAAATTATGGATTAAAGTTATGGATGCATTTTTTTTCTCAGAAAGACTGAAAATGAAATGTCAATCAGGTAAAATCCATAAACAGCGTCTTGCCTAGATTAGAGAGCTACATTCTTTTTATTCATTGGCTAATTGGGGTGGTGTGGTGGTGCAGTGGTTAGTGCTGCTGTCTCCCACCATGAAAGTTCTGGGTTTGGTCCCAGGTCCTTTCTGTGTGGAGTTCACATGCTCCCCCTGTGTTTGTGTGGATTTTTACCAGGGGCTCTGGTTTCCTCCCACAGTCTAAAACAGGGTTCTTCAACTCTGGACCTCGATTCCAAATCCAGGC